ATGCTTAATATTTTACCAACAAAAAGATGCATATGAAACAGAATCCAACTTGGAAACAAATCTAGTTCCTTTTAAAAAGAAACAAACGGGAAAAGTGCAATTTTGCTCATTAGATATTCCTTCTTTTTTATTTCCGCTCAGTATGGCAGAAATAAAGAAAGACTTCCTTGCAGCCAGTTTTCTTTTCTGAATGTTTCAAAAAAAGAAATGCGTTTACTTGCGTTACTTGAAGTAAGAATGAAACAAAATGGAAAACTTCACTCCGTAAAATTATTCATGCGGGTTTTGAAGATTTAGAGGAAAGGAAAGGGAAGGGAAAGAAAGGGAAAGGAGGGAAAGGGAAGGGAAGGAAAGGGAAGGGAAGGAAAGGGAAGGGAAGGAAAGGGAAGGGAAGGAAAGGGAAGGGAAGGAAAGGGAAGGAAAGGAAAGGGAAGGGAAAGAAAGGGAAAGGAGGGAAAGGGAAGGAAAGGGAAGGGAAGGAAAGGGAAGGGAAGGAAAGGGAAAGGAGGGAAAGGGAATGGAAGGAAAGGGAAAGGAGGGAAAGGGAAGGGAAGGAAAGGGAAAGGAGGGAAAGGGAAGGGAAAGAAAGGGAAAGGAGGGAAAGGGAAGGGAAGGAAAGGGAAATGAGGGAAAGGGAAAGGAGGGAAAGGGAGAGGGGTAAAGGAGAGAGAGAGAGAGAGAGAGAGAGGGCGAGAGAGAGAGGGGGAGGGACTGGTAAACAAACTATATGAACGAAAAGCAGTTAACTTTTTTCTTGTAGAGGTTTAAATATAAAAAGCGGAAGAAGTATAAGATGTTCCAGTGTTGATGTTTTTAACTCCGCAAGTGGTGAAGTGGGGGGCGGAGGAAGAAAAAATGGGAGGATGAAATGGAAGGGTTAGCGCGTGGGATAGTTGAGAGGAGAGGGGGGAATGTAAAGAAGCTGAAGTGAATGAAAAACAATTTTTCCCTTACAGCGGTGAAATAAAAGAGACCGAGAAGACGAAAACAAGTATTAAAGGTATGTAAAGATCATTTCTGCTTGAGAGACAAATTTTCCTAGAGGATGAGTCATTACAGTAACAATTAATCAGGCTCAGTGAGATCATTTTGACGGCAAACCATAAGAAAATTTAGGGTCAAAATTGGATTTGTATTATTTTGCAGATGAAATTAACAACAGCAAGTTAGAGGAAGAGAGCAATGATGGGCAAGAGGTTAAGGCCGAGATTGTTGAGGATGTGAAATGGTTTATGGTCACTGATGAAGGTGAGAATGTAGAGGAAGACATTTGGGAAGACATCACCTCCCCTAAGATTCAAGTAAAGGCAACAGCCATTCAAGAAGCGAACATCACAAAAATTGAAGCTAAAGAAGTAGAAGAGGAAGCCCTTGAACATGACCAGTGGCTGGACGTCACCGAAGGAGAATCTTGGGCTGATATTGTCTCAAGGGAGATTCCTCTGGAGGATATCACTGTGTTTGAGGTGGCGAGAAATCTCCAGTGGTCCGAGCAGGTCGATGCAGAATATGAAACAGAGACTCAACCCACTACCGAACAAGTTCACTCTGTTGAGAATCATACCGAGAAAGTTTCTCAAGATACCGAAATGAAAGAAATGGAAACTGCAGAAGTCCAAGAGAGGAGTGAGGACAACAAAGAAGTTTCTAAGGAGATAAAGGTGCTCCACCTTACTTGGGAAGAGCTTCTCTTAGCAGAGAGACACATGGAGTCGGCTGTTGTGGAAGATTTTAGTTCAGATCAAATCAAATCGTCAAGATTAAGTTTGGCGCAAGAAGATCCTGAAGTCGAAGCCTTTAAGATCATGTCCTGTGAAAGGTAAGTGCGATTCAATCGAGGGGAGGGGATACAACTAAATTAATTAATTTAGTCAGTATATAGCAGGCAAAACATGTATAATCATTCCATACAGAGGGATGTTCATTTCCCTCATAGCAATTTCTACAACTATTGACAGTGGCGTAAAACAAAAAATGTAAGTATGCCGCTAAACCTCAGAGTTCGTATACTTCTTCAAGCTGCAGTTGATTAGAGATCATAGGTAGATTCTCAGACAAAAATAAGGCTATGGAAATCATTTTCCACAGGGAGAGGTCTAAAGGAAAGAAGAAACGAAGAAAAGGAAAAAGGAGAGAATCATTAAAAAGTGTGGCTGAAGAGGACCCTGCTATTCTAGATTACAGGAAAATACCCAGCCATGGGTATGTGAAAGTTTCCTTGACTGTTATCATTAACCATTAAACAAGAAAAATTAAGAAGCCAATCTGCAAAATGTAAATGTAAAAGGAATAGAATTCGAAAACTTTCAAACTTTGAGAGACGATTACCAGACATCTTTTAGGCAGAAACTAATGCACGGCATATCAGAATTAGGTGATTATTTCAGTCTCACAGAGATATATACAATGCTACGAACTTCATCTTAACTTGACATACGTTGTAGCACTCTAAGTAAAATAAGAAAAAAAAATCAACTGATATGGGAAAGACTGGCTGAAAAGATTCAGCTATTTGAGACTTCGAGGCAGTTTGCACAAGCTGTAGTAAATCGCAGCAGATAGCTTTTATGTTGAAATATATAGATCATAAAAAATCTGACACTTGTTTCTTACAGGGAAAGATCTAAGGTCAAGAAGATAAAAAGGAAACTAAGAAAGGAAAGAGAACAAGCAGAACAAACATCTCTAAGCGTGGCTGAGGAAGACCCTGCTATCGTGACTTAAAAATTCATCAAATATTCCTCTTCGTAAAACTATGACATTAACATTATGGACAACCTTTTTGCTTGCCGCGCTATTTATATCATGAAACATCACCACTGCAGTTTGGAAAGGATCAAGAAAGCGGAGAGATTTTTAAAATGTGTTTATAGATACACACACACACAAAAAGCTGTATGAAAATAACCTACTGCTGTAATTCTTTTCATAGATAAACGAGAAATACGTCCTAAATACGGACGTGTTGTTGAAGATTTAGTGTCCTGAATAAAATTGAATTCTTACAAGATCTGTTCTAGACAATCTCTGGTTGTTGTACATTTGTGGTTATAACATGTTCCCAACATACCCTTTAGGCCGCGTTATGCCGTGATTCCTTTCAAAAACTGGCCAGTTTGGTTGGTTGACGCACTTTGCTTGGGTTAGTGGAAAAAAAGCAAAACATCTGTATTGCAATGATTTTGGTTAAACCAGACTGAACCACTCGTTGTTCTAATGAATGCACATTTTTTCTTCTAATCCAGTCAATCGGATTTTAAAATGTGATTTCGGACAGTGCACTGCAATAACGTTTCATATAACATATTTCGTTAACTTTAGCTATCAAGACAACAGCCCTCTTTTTAATGTTCAGTCATCTCTGTGGGCCCGAAGTTTAATTTTTGAACCTAAATGTAAGCAATAGAAGTACGGATCTCAGCCCAAAAACCAGTTCATTCTGTTTCGCTCTTGGATTCATGTACGCAAGAAATTTCAATCGAACTACTACAAGCGCAGAGTGCAACACCTGAAAGAGAGTTCCCTGTCAGAGTGGTAGAGGGAAACAAAGCGACTTAGTCGTATCACTAACTTCTCTGGAGCGAAGGTTACTGTGCAAAGGTTACTGTGCTCAAGACCGTCCATCACCTGTGTAAGCATCGGCTGTGTAAGCGATTTATCGCCTACCAAGGCAATAGGCTTGTTCGGTCGCCCCAACTTCCGTCGCCCCGAAGTATGGTTGCGTCGCCCCCATCTTGAATTTTTGTCGCCGCCAACTTTTGATTTAAGTTTGTAATGGGTTTTAAGTGCATTTTGACATAAATTTAAAAGGTTGGAGGCTCGACGGCTCGGTTATCAAAATACAGCAATTAAGCGACTTAGATTCAGGACTAACGCAGTAAAAACCAACAGGGCGATTCCTGCATTTTTAATTTTCATCCAAAGTTATATAGTTAACGGCTTAACATATAATAAGTATATAACTACGATTACAGTTTAAAGTTTCTAGTAAAAAGCATGCAGGCCGTTTCAAATTTACCAATCAGCGCTCGGCTTAATTTTGAACCGCAGTGAGCTGCATGCTTCGAATTCCTTTGGTCGCTGAGTTCGGCACTGATCATATTGAGAAAACTACATTCATGATTTTCATTTCGTAAAAAGACGCTTCAAACGGCCCCTGAAGACGGAAAAATACAACAGATTAGTCTATTAATATTTCATTGAACTTTATTGAGATATTCAGACCGAGGCGTAATTTAGATATGCAATTTTCAGAGCTTTATTTACAGCCCTCATAAATTTTGTTCTTCTTATGTCAAAAATTATTAATCACGAACACATTTTGTTCAAACTAGTTCATATCACACATATAAAATGAAATCAAATTTGAAATCTTTCGATATTTGTTTCTTTCGAGTTTTTCATTTTGGGATTTTCCCAGACTCGTTTGTATGGTTGAGACTGCCGTCTTGGAGGTAATCTCCAGGAGGTTTCTTCAGCTTCTTTCCACTTTTTGTAAGCTTGCCTTAGGTGAAAAATTGTTGCGAGAAAATTGGAAAAAAAAACCCAAGGGGTTTATTCACAATGACAAAAAAAATTGTTTTAGCGAAGGTCTATAAGGAACATTAAAAAGAAAAAGTCAGCCGAAAGATCAAAATTTCAACTCCTGGAGTTTTAACTTTTGAATATTGGTCCGTTCAGTTTCCCTTCCCCCATAAGGCCAAATTGTGTTCAAATGCCTTACCCAATTTTTGGATCTGATGGTAAAGACAAAATCAGCGACCGTGGCGTTCTATTCATTGACCGAGCTTTGAATGTTAGACCTTGAAGGCATTTTCATTTAAGCGATTCGCTCATGGAAGTGAACTCTTTTGCCCTTCACCGGCTTGAAAGTAAGGATTGCATTCATCGCTGAGCCAGTCTTTTCGTACTCTGAGATGTCAGCTGTCTCCCTGCCCCAAAACTCCGTGAGACGCCGGGCCGAAACAGTCTTCTTCCCCAGTACCTCGGCGTATCTCTGAGGGGTAGGAAAAAAAATAGGTGACTGTCACCTCAAACCAGTCTCCCCACGGAGTAAGTAGGTCATCTCCAAGGTTACTCGTTTTCGGAACGAGAGGTATAAACATTTCATCACTTCATCACAGTTTTTAAATTCTCTGAATGTAAATTCATCAGTTTTGCAGCTCAAGATAGAATAATGAAATCAGACGCGTACGGTAAAATTTTCCTTTGGCCACCTCTTTTCGTTACTTATGCTCCCATCCTTTTCCTTTTGATGGCGATGCTGTGTTGCAGAATTCCACTGGATCGTGTTAGCCGCTGGGTTACCACAAATGCATTTTCCGATATATTCAAGGAGAAGAAGAGGAAGACTTGTTGTCCTAGAGAAACAAAGTGGCTGTTTAAAGACATTGATATGACAGATGATGAGGAATTATTATCCAAGGTCCGAACCAGATTTTTGATGCTGTTTTATGTGATGTTTGGCTTAGTGCTGACAATTTTTTGGCAGCTGCTTGTGCGGGATGTAAGTTACGACTGCGATGAAGATGACCTCTCGAAAGACTGCTTCGAACGCAAATGGAGTTTGAAGTCGCAAGACCCCCTAAACTGTAGCAGTGCTGCCGTTCAAAATTTGATTCGAAATGGAACCATACAGGTCATCTGCAACAAAATCGTCTTCAATTTTGGATTGGCCACAGGTGCAAGTTACGGCTCATTCAAGCTGTCTATGTTGGCCGTTAAGGTGAGCACAAGTGCAATCTTGAAACAAGTTATGTTCAGTCGCTTAAGTGTTGTTTCCTCAACTAGTTCAGGTAGTTACTCGGAGTATTTCAAGTCTCTGCTTCAATCTTTGCTGATCAAAAAAACAAAGATTCTACGATGGGTGCAAGTTTCTGTTGTATTACTAGTTCTCGGTACTGTCATATCGCTTATAGTTGTTGAAACAGTAATCCCTTCGGTAGCCATCTTTTTTTTGAATCACTTGGGTGCTATTGCTCAGATGATAACAACAGCAATCATTGCAGCTGTCTTCCTATGCTTTATTCCTTGGCGGGAGCTCATTGAATTGAAAACCCAGAGAGAAAACCAGCAAGATACTGTCCTGGAAAACCCTGCTTAGGCATCTGTATAGACACCACTTGAGCAGAGACTTGAAATACTCCGAGTAACTACCTGAACTAGTTGAGGAAACAACACTTAAGCGACTGAACATAACTTGTTTACTTCCTATCATAGGCGCGATATCTGGCACAAATAGCCTTGCGAAGACTGTTCTAGCGGTGGGTTTTTTTAGGCTTAAATATTTCTTCGACATATTTCATATACTAAGACAACATGTTTACAAACATATTAATGCAAACTTGTTTAAAAACTACTGGTAGTCCTTCTAATTTAATCATTAAAATTATCTTTTTGTAATGATCGTACAAATCAATTTTTGGTTGCAAAGCGGTTATCAATAAACTATCTATCTATCTAACGAGTCATTGCATCATAATTCCTATGCGTTATTCCTTGGAAAGAACTCATGGCATTGTGCGCTGCGAGGGAGCATCCAGTTATTGCGCCGACAAACTACTCGCTTTGAAAATCTGTTCCAAAATCTTCAGACGCATATTTGAGGTTTATATCTAAGAGAATGTCTAAAGTACGCATATGAAACAATTTTTCAGACACCGCTTCTTATAACTTCGCGCATTTATTTATCATAATATTATACTAGAACATCAACATGTATGGCCATTATGGGGTTTAAAGCGTGAAGGTTTCTTGTTTCCCCACTGTAAGAATAATTTTCGTCTCATGGCTAGGAATGGTGCTGTGAGAAAATGAAACGTTTAGGAAATTAAGTAGACAATTGTGTCGAGATTGTTTATCTTACTGAAAGGAAGCTTACTGAAGCACGTAATGCAGATTATGTTAATCAATTATTAAGTTTGTTTATTGTAGCTCCTGAATGTCGAAAATTATAATAGTCGCGTTAACACCATGTCCATCGGTGCAATCAAAGCCATTCTTTGTCGCGGGGACGTGTTACTAACACTGAAGGACATGGTTTGCGTCGAGGCTTTAACTCGATACTCAGATCTAAAGCGAACACTTGTGGCGGAATTTACACTGCAAACGAAATTGCATTGTACTTGGAGAATTATATGAATTGCAAAATTTCCAAAAATCTAACCATAATCATCAATATTCTTGCATTTAAAATAGCTCGACAAAATACGCATAAAATGGAAAAACTTGGGTTACAAAATATTGCCGAAAAAAAGAGTTGTGCAAGTGGCTAAGCCACTGACCCAAAACACTATCGTCATTATTAGATTAAAGTTTTTCTGACAAAAATCTTCATTCTAAGAAATTTAAAATCTAAGTTTGAGGTTATTGATGAAAAAATCAATATCAAATCAAAATCCACAAAAATGCTGTATTTAAAATCACTTGAAATGAATTCGTTCTGGGGTTAAGTTAATGACTTCACTTGTAAACATTGACTACTTCCTCTAGAAAAGGACATTGGAGCGTTTATCCTCCCACGAAAGAAAAACGCACGGCTTAGATTCGAGGAACTGAGCGAAGTGATATTTTGACGCCACAGTTTCTCCTTGCGACACAGCGTGAACGAGAAGTCGTTCTTATATTCCTCTCTTTGTTTTCCAAATGAAAACACAATTTTTTTCGGTTTTGTGAAAGTGTTGTTGTGATTCTTTATGATACAAGGAATTATTTTCATTGTCGTTCAAATTAAGTGGGAAATATTTATGCTCAAAAATAAATTCATACAACATGTCATTGGCTTCATGTAATTCCATTTTTTTTCTAAGGAACATTTTATTCTTCTTTGTACTATATTGGTCCAAACACGGAAATGGTTACACTGCACTCCACTCATTATACAATGGCCTTACCAATTATTTCGTGAAATGAACAACAACCTGTCGGTGACTTTTTGATATTGTACACAGCGGAAAAAACGAACGTGACAACCGCGAAGGTATTTCGGGTGGGTATCAGCCCTTGGTTTCGTGACCTCAGGATTTCAGGGAAATCTAAGAACAAGTCATTTTGAAGACAAGTCATCGCGATCTCTTCTTGTTCAGAGGATGATGAAAGAGAAGAAGCAATCGCACGACTTTTTTTTTTTTTTTTTTCAAGCAGGTTGCCTGTTTTTACCTTAAGTTCTCATTGGTTAATGATGATGTAACCTTTGTTCTGATTGGTAGTTGTGATGCGAATGAGTGACCAAGTCTCGATTCGTTTGAGTTTTTTTTCCGATTGGGTGAGAGAGTGGCGTAGGTATCTAGACTCATCATAGTGTGAAAAACCTGAAAACCAGTGGTATAGTGGTTTGCTTTTGTCAGGCAGTTGAAAACTGTTCTCATTGGATTTTTTTCGTTGAATTTACGTTGTGCGAAAGTTGTGATTTAACGAATCGAATGGCACGAAAATTACCCAATGTATTTTTACGCAAACGCTAGTTTGGAACCATGGATTATGAATAATGAGCGGAACAGACAAATACCAGTTAGCAGAAGAAAAAAGAATTTGCACACAGAAAAGCTACCTGTAGCCGGAAAGTGTTTCATCAAACGTGGAGAGCAAAAAAGGATGTGATGAACAAACAGAGGAGTGTTATAGGAAATGCCATCAAGAAAAGCTACGTAAGTTACGTGATCATAGAACTAGTCCACAGTAATACAAAGAGTGCTTCGAGCAAGAGCGAAAACAATCGCCTTGGAACAAAAGAAATACGGGAAACAGAAGGCTTCTACTTTCTTTCACTTGAATGGAACAGAGAGGTTTGCAATCTATCATCGCATAACCAAAATCACGTCGGCGAGTCTGAAAAAAGGCAAATACCACGAGAAGCCAATGAGCAGTGTAAACGCGTTAAGCGCGGTAAAACACGAATGACTAAACCGTGATTGTTAAAACGATGACGCGATTTTTCTGCACTAATCACCGAGCGAATTGAAGCACAACCAGAGACGCCGAGTGAATGTCAACAGCCCATTTAACATTAATATGACTGTGTTCATAGGCGAGAAAATCGCAAATCAAATCAATCAAACTGATATCTTACGAACGTAATGTTAGGAGAACAGCAAACTCAGCAAAATCAAGAATTTGAAAAAGTTTAGGTTCTTCAGATGACGACATATTGTACATAACTTACACACTTTTACGTTCTGTCAAATCAGAAACACCAGTCTTTACCCCGAGACACAAAATGAAACTGGGCACACGATAAAAAGAAGGAAGTTGTAAAGCGCGTGTTTGGGAAGTGTCCATCCGTCCTTGTGGGATTCATCTTTAGTGAGAGAGTGCATTAGACAGTATTAGATGGTTTTCAAAGGGGCTTTTCATCAGTAAAACAAGCTACCATTAATTATTTTTTTCTGTGCAATACCATGATCTTGGATAAGTCAACGTTTTGACTACCTCTCCCTCTCGGGTTTTGTCATATTGACCAAGTGGTAGGAACAACACTCCTAGGTTCCGTAGCTTGTTGCTTCTCCATCTCTGTCGCCAATTTCAATTTCGATAGCGAGTGCTTTCTTCAAATGCTCGCGGGCCTTGTCATGTTGACCAACGAATCGGAACAATGTTCTTAAATATCCGAAGCATGAAGCTTCTCTATCTCTGTCGCCAATTTCTATGCTGATGGCGAGTACTTTCTCCTAATAATACACACGGGCCTTGTCATATTGTCCAAGCGAGTGAAAGAAATGTTCCTAAGTTTCCGTAGCTTGTTGCTTCTCCACTTCTGTCGCCAATTTCGATCTTGATCGCGGGTTCTTTCTCCTGATACTCTCGAGCCTTGTCATATTGAACAAGCCTTGGGAAAAATGATCCTATGTATCCGTAGCACGAAGCTTCTCCACTTCTGTCGCCAATTTCTATCTTGAGAGCAAGCTCTTTCTCCTTACAGTCTCCGGCCTTGCCAAATTGAACAAGCGACAAGAAAACCGCTGTTAAGTTTCCTTGCTTGTTGCTTCTTCATCTTTGTTGCTCACTCCTATTCTGATGGCGAGTGTTTTCTCCAGCTACTCTAGACCTAGTCGTATTGAACAATCAAATGGAACAATGTTCGTAGGTATCCGTTTCATGAAGCTTCTCCATTTCTGTCGCCAATTTGTATCTTGATAGCGAGTTCTTTCTCTTTAGAGTCTCAGGCCTTGTCATATTGACCAAGCCATAGGAACAATGATCCTCGGTTTCCGTAGCTTGTTGCTCCTCCATTTCTGTTATTAATTTCTGTTCTGATAGGAAGTGCTTTCTCCTAATACTTCCTGGCCTTGTCATATTGACGAAGCGATTGGTACAACGTTCCTAGGCTTCCGTAGCTTATTGCTTCTCCATCTCCATCTCTGTCGCCAATTTCTATTCTGATAGCGAGTGCTTTATCCATATAGTCTTGACACTTGTCAAATTCACGTAAGTATTATGTTAGTATTGCTCTATTGCATGTAAGTTAAAATTCAATAAAGACAATTTCAGGAAAATAATCAGAGAATAAAATAAGTATAGAACGATAAATACTTAGCAAAAATACATGCTTACAGGCAAACCATTGAGGCCAAAAAATGTATTTGGACAACCAAAAGCGACACACGGCTTTCCTTTCTTTTTAAAAGAAAAATCAGCTTTATCGAGATTTCAGTTAGGACATCCATTTCCATAAAAATCGAAAAATTTTACTACCTACGTGCGAATTTCATCAAAATCGCTCACAGAGATATAACACGGGTCAACACCAGCCTCCTTTTCACGTGTGCGCGGTGACATGTCCAATATGGCGCTGGGAACTGTGAAAAGGGCTATTCAATCGAAAGTTCGATTTTCGAACTCATGATTTTTGTAACTGGTGTTGAAAATCAATAACAAGTTCTTGAAGGCTCGAGTTACTTCGGCACACCCGGGAGTGTAGCACGCGCTTTACGTAAACGCAGAAATTGCGGAGAAATGGCTTCAGATGCGCTCTGAATTGTAAGCTTTAAATGCGTTGTTAAAGGCTACCAGGATTGTCACTTTGACGTGAAGGAGGGCGACGATTTCCAAGTTGTAAGGAAAATAAGCGAGAAAGGCCGTGCTTTTCGAATTGTAAACAAGAGTGGA